CATGACAATTCACTCGAGTTGCCGGTTAACGTTATAGTGTACATGATAAAAATTGTAAGCACAAGTGACCACAGTTTGTTGTATTATATTTTTGATGTCTATCGTAATTATATTCGATACTGCACCCGTTGAAATATTTCTGTAATTCTAGCGGAGGGGGTAAGTTTCCGTAGCTGTCAAAATATTTAACTTGTTTTCCGATTTTCTTATACGCTACCCAATGAGTACCTGTGCCGATTTCAGTGTCTAAATTAACTACAGCCGACTCTTGATTTTTTAAACGTTGCGACAACTTGTCTCTAGAAAATACACCAATGAAATGAGGTATTTTCAACATGGCAGCGTATTTTATAACCTCATAATCGAACAACGCTCTATCGGGTAACGTAACAATTAGTTTTTTGACCTAGATTTCTTGACTGAACCGCCCTTGTGTGGTTTTTTAGACTTCACTGATCCACCTTTGTATGGTGTTAGGTATAAACCTTCTCCTTTTACGACTTTATAAGAACTACCCTTGTGAGGTGCTAGATATAAGCCTTTGCCTAAATGAATAGGAGTGTTTTTACCAGAATTTAATTCTTTCACGACTTTAACTATATTACCGACACCTCCGGTAAGCGCCCCTAATGCTGATAAACCAGCAAAAATAGGTATTAATGGTAAGACACCGCCCCTTTTCGGTATTGGTATAATTCTTGGAGTTTTAGTCTTCTTGTTTTTAGATTTTTTAGATTTTTTTGCAGCTGACAGACATGTTTTTACTAATTTAGTTATATTTTTTTCGTTCATTTTGTTTTTGATCGAATTCTTAGCAGCCAAAACCATTTGTTTAAATCCGCAGCCAGCTCCCATCTTACGTTTGACCTTCATGGCTGTAGTGACCAACCAAGACGCAGCTTTTTCCTTGATACCTGTTTTTTTTGATTTAAACACTTCCCAAGCCTGATTTTCTAATACTTCGTCCGCTCTGTGTCTATCGGTTAGTGAATTACTTTCATCGTATGCGATATCGTGGGCTCTGGCCAACTCATCCAGACGGTTAATTCCGCGTTCTCCACGCGCTAGTCTTTCTTTTAATTTGGTTCCAGGACCGTCAAATTTATAACAAATATATATATAAAATGTAGACAGGATTTAATAACAATAATATTATGTAGTGACTTACCTATAGCCAGGTAAATGCAATTCCACGGGTAAATGATTTATAACAGAGTTAATAAGACCGGATCCTTTATTGTTGTTTCGCTTACGAACTCGAGACATCGTGTGACGCTTTCGATAACTTTGCATCTGTATTTATAGTGAAAAATTAAAAAAAAAAATGCGCTTTATTGAACAAGAGAAAAAACTTCGGATTTATAACATTGATACCCCCGAGACAATTCAGCTGAGACATGGTGAACTTTTCCCAAATACGATAAGGTCGTTGGTACTTGGTAGCTCTGGATGTGGTAAAACAAATCTGATGTATTTTCTACTCGTCGATGAAAACGGTTTGCGATTTGAAAACGTTTACATATACTCTAAGACCTTAGAACAACCAAAATATAAATTACTGAAACGTATTATTGACGGTATTGATGGTATCAACATTTTTACCTTTTTCGAGAATGATAAAGTAATTCCACCCGAGAAAGTTTTACCGAACTCAATTTTTATCTTGGATGATGTTATCGGCGAACAACAAAATGTAATAAGTGATTATTTTTCTCGAGGTCGCCACAATAAAATTGATATATTTTATCTAGCTCAGAGCTATTCAAAAGTACCTAAACAGCTGATACGCGATAATGCAAATTTAATAGTATTGTTCAAACAAGATGAAACTAATTTAAAACATATATATCAAGAGCACTGTTCAGGGGACATGACATATATACAATTTAAAAATGTTTGTATGACATGTTGGAACCGTGAGATGTTTACATTTATTGTTATTTGTAAAGACTGTGAGCGTGATAACGGACGTTATCGTTTTGGGTTTGATACTTATGTGGTTATATAAGGCGATACAATTAATAAATATTATCATTTATAACGCAGTCATGACGGAAGCAACTACTGTTCTAGATGAGCTTGTCAAAGCTAAGGAAAGTATTAAACGCAAATATATCGCATTGAAAACCGGTTCGGATAATGTTCAACAATTAATGACACAGACATTAAAACCAATTATCGATCCATTAACTAAAATATCGAATAAATCTGGGCTGACATCAAACAAAGAAAATATTAACGTCAGGTCGAAAAACTCATTTGCGGACGACTATCAACAGGAAATTGAAAATTGGCTTCAGTCTACAGACTTGGATAAAATATACGGTCCGAAAAAACTTCCAAATGGCTATATTATATTGGGCGATAAAGAAGTAAAATTCACCGAAAATACTATACTTATTGACGGTACTGTTTATGACTTAACCTCGGGTCTTATTCAGTTATTATTTTTGAAAAATCCTCTTGTTTATACCGACAACGATATAGGTGTGTATAAATCTATATTGATTCAAACATCAGCACATATAACTATTGGTAGAAAAATAATAAAAAAGGGTGGCTTTAAATATACATCAATCATCAGTAAATTATTTCCCTCGGGCAGTGGACTGTCTATGAAATTACAGAAAAATAACTTAGTGTATTGGGACAATCCAAACGAGTTGGTCGATCGATTACGTCTACTTCTAGCGTCAAAGGCAGCTGGTAATACAGGCGTTTCAAACGAAATAATATCGATTTTCGAGGAATTACGTGAGGCCGGACTAATAAAACGGGTTCCAGATGTCTAAACGGGAAATAGCTTACGAACTTCACAAACCAGCAAGGAAAAATTTCACTAGGCGTAGAGTCAACGTCTATGGGAAAAATGATTTATGGCAATCCGACTTGGTTGAAATGATTCCTTATTCAAAAATAAATGGCGGTTACAAATATTTTCTGGTTGTGATTGATTGTTATACAAAGTTTTCTTGGTCTATACCATTAAGAAATAAATCTGGGAAGGAAGTTACTAGCGCGATGGCTACAATATTACGTGATCGTTCACCAAAACTTTTACAAGTCGATAATGGTACAGAATTTTATAACACCACCTTCGACGCTTTGATGACCAAGTATGGCATACATAAATATTCAACTTTCAGTGTTCTAAAGGCTAGCATAGCAGAGAGGTTCAACCGAACAATTAAAGGAAAAATGTATAAGGAGTTCACTGCACGTGGCTCTCATGAATGGGTATCAATTCTACCAAAGTTGCTCGATGAATACAATAATTCATACCATAGAACTATAGGAATGACACCAATACAAGCAGATTCCAACCCCGCTTTGGTGGTAATAAAACAGCGTAAAATTAATAATGAAAAAATTAAATTCAAAGTCGGTGATAAAGTTCGTATAAGTACACAGAAAGGCGTATTTACAAAAGGTTATTTACCAAACTGGTCTACGGAAATATTTGAGATTATCAAAATAAATAAAACATTGCCAGTTACTTATCAATTGCAAGATTATATGAGTAAGCCTATTGCCGGTTGTTTTTACTCTTCGGAAATAAGCAAGACCAATTTCCCAAACGAATATTTAATCGAGAAAATTATTCGCAAGAAGCGCGATCAAATGTACGTTAAGTGGCTAGGATTCGATAATACACATAATAGTTGGATAAATACACGTGATGTTAAAAAATAGTGTCAGTCGTTTTATAACCATGAACGTGTTTGGTAGTTCTCAGGCGAGTGATACTAGGAGAATTATTTCAGATACTCAGTCAAGTAACAAAACGATACTAAATGATGTGAAACTCCAACAGAAAGAAATCGATACTTTGAAAAGTAATATTGTTAATCTACATGTAAAGATACAATTGCTTGAAAATAATATACAAACAAGTAATAAGTCTTTATTAAATTGTGAAAATCGTATGTCGCAGCTATTTAATGACTGTGCTGACAATAGTACAGCGATTGCTATCCAGGGACTTGACGTGGCCCAATTAAAAGCTGAAATAAATCGTATAACTGGAATATTCGATGAAAATTCATTACCAAATCATGGAACATATATTTCAGAATTAAACTCACGTTTGGAGATCATTGAAGGCAAAAATATCAAGAAAACTTAATTTTATTTAATATACTTACTAAATAGTTAAATATATGAAAAATTGAAGTACAATTTCAGTCGACCTGTATACTCCATTGTGTACGGTAGTCCTCTGTCAGTGATATAAATATTTACAATAATTTAATAAAACCTGTAATTATGTCGTCGGCTATCGTAGAGGTCCAATGCATTCTTGGAGCAAAAAATAAATATTTTATTAAAGAAATGTCTATAGTCGACACAGCAACGTGGGCAACTCAACACTGGATTTTTAAAAATTCAAAAACTATGCAAGACAACAAGAGTCAAAAAACTAACAAGTGGCTGGAACATAACTATCATAAACTAACTATAGAGTATGGTGATGTTGAATATGAAGAATTAAGTAGAATATTGAACTCATTAAAATTCACCTGCATTTATGTCAAAGGCGAACAGAAAAAACAGATGCTCGCAGAATTTATACCTCAAGTCGCACTAATCAACATCGAAGACCTTGGATGTCCACGTTTGGATCAAATATGCGATGAAGACACCTTACCTTGCTGTATTTTTCATATGGAATTTAATCCAAAACAATGTACATTCTATAAAGTATTTGCTATAAGGAAATGGTTTATAAATAATTCTTAAAAATTGTTATTATAATATGTACATTTTATTTAATAAACATAATAATAATAATATTATATATTTTAACAATTGTTTTTTTTATTTTATTTATATGCTAACATAATATAGGTACAAGTATAATATAATATTTACAATATATATATATACAAAACTAAACAGTTGTTTATAAGTTATTTGTAATAATCAATATATAACAATAAAAATATATAAAATCAGGTTAGGCAATGTAGAAGGTTTCTTCTTCATTCCAGTTATGGTCTCTATTCCAGGCTAATCATCTTCGGGTTCATCTTCCCTATACAATTAAAAAAGTAAAATCAGTATAATAATTTAAAAATATATATATAATTGTAATAACTTACTCTATACTATAATGACCATGGGCTAGTGTGTTTATTTTGTCCTCTAACACCACCCTCTTATCATCATAGCTGTTGTACGTTAGCTTATTAGTTCTTATTGTCATAAGCTGGTGATTGAATGACCGTATCGATACATTGTCTCTATACAACTCCTGTCCAATTTCTCCAAACAGGCACTTCCTATGGTCCTCAAGAGTCATATGGTTTTTAACCACATGAGCTCTGATACCTTTCGCCTTAATCTTTTCTCCTCCTACTCGGTCCTTTTCATCTTTCTCCTTATCCTCTTGTCCAGCATATATGTTGAAGGCATACGACTTGGCTCTCAACCCGCAGAATTCAGTAATTATATTTGCGTTCACCTCGTCGGAGAAGAAGCCCGGGGACTTTTTTCTTTCTGCTACATAACACGGATGGTCACTGGGCAGGTTAGCAGTATCCATCCTATCCAACAAGTTGTGGTTAGCCGCCAAGTCCACATAAAAATCTTCCGTCTGAACATGATACACTAGTGAATCTGGAAAAAGAATGATATTAAATAAATATATTATGTAGTTTTAGTATATATTTACCTGTATCAGTGTACATAAGCTTAATTCTATCTCCATAATGTTTCTGCATGACATTGTAATGATAATCATACATTAACGTTTTGCTAATATCTAATACAGAAAATCCTGTAAATAATAAATATATAATAAATGTAATTATAAGTGTATATTATATAATTTAAAAAAAATTATATTTACCAATATATATAGGTTTATCGAATTTGATTAATTTGTTCTCAAGCGTTACAGCGTTAAGGTTCTCGTTGTAATTTGTGCAGTGTTTAAATGTACATTTGTTTATTACTTTTTGCAACCTCATCTCACATGACACCAACTCCATCTTCATTTCCTTCCTCTTCGATTGCATAGTCTTCCCTAGAAAATCAAACACAAAATATCAGTAAACATTTTTATATACATATTATATAATAAATAAAGTTGCATACCAAATACAGCGTTATTCATAAGTTTAAAAAAGTCCTTCTCAAATTCATTCTTCGCCTTTTTCCTCAACTCTGTGTTTAATTCTATATACTTGGCTAACCAGTCAGACTGGTTAAACTGAATAACCCTATGTACCTATAAAAAAATTATTACAATCTGTTTAAAATCTTATAAAATACAAATATTTACTTTTTCCACTTTCAACCCATTCTTAATTGCCTGCTGCAGATTTCTATAATGTATAACATAGTTCTTCTTCATCTCAAACGTTGCCATCAACTTCCTCACCTTCGACCCGCGAGGTATACCGCTGTTCGGCAAGAATGGTAGATCGTTGTGTTTATCATGTAATTTTTGTGGGTATGTTACATCCACCTCATACACTCGCCCTATGGGTGATGTATCGTTCAAATCATCAAGTCCGTTTAATGTGGGTTCAACCCAGTTGAACCCACCGTACGGCATGTACTGCGACATTGCCCATCCATACAAGTTGTTACCTATAAAATTTAAAAAAAATTAATAAGTATGAAAATATTATTAAGTTTAGAAAAATATAGGTACTTACAGTCCTGATATACTATCCACGATTTCTCTTTCGTCTCATCATAGTCCGAGGTCTTTGCATTATTCGCCTTCGCATATCGTTTGCTCGCTTGAACCAATCCACCACGTAAACCTATACAAAATAAATAAGATTAATATTATATATATATATATATATATATATATACACATTTTAAAAATAATATACTGACCATTCTCAAACATCAATAACATGTCATAATCCGTCAAAAGTGAAAGTTTCTGCCCCGTAAACTTCAGCATCGCATCGAAACTTAAGCCTGAGGTGGTGAAATAGTGGGCTGCGTCCAAGTTGTATGTCCTCATACATAAGTCGCGGAAGTTTTCGAACACATCAGCCAACAGCAGCACGTCAATTTTTAGATACAAATCGCTATATTCGCCCAGCGTCCTACAGCCAAAGTGGTTCCAAACCAACTTCGCATGCTCAAAGTCTTCCTCGTCTATATGTTCTTCTTTTAATGAACTATAAAAACTCCTCTTACTCGGCAATCGTTCTTCATCCAATCGATCCCAGCTATCTGTGTACTCGTATGGGTACACCCCCTTTCGAGTCACTAACGGCATATCTCCGGCTACAAAATGTTTCGCGGTTTCTCGGAAATTTTCAAGCCCTGGTGTCACAAGATTTTCGGCTAAAGTCAACAGTTTTGATGCCATAAACCTGAACGTGTCTATAAATCGCATTGAAAAGGTGTTTGTGACGTATTTCTTAAATGATATAAATTTCTCCTCGCTGTTAGGTATTACTCTTATAGTTTGAGTGTCATGGCCAAGTTCTGTAACTATTAGATGTGCGTCATAGTTGGACAGGTTATGAAAAAATATAGGTATAAAGTTTGGTGTTTGAAGCTTGAGATTGCACGTGTTACATATAGCTTGCCGGTATTTTCCAGAGAGATGACAGTGATCTGCCACCTTATGGTTGTCGAATGTAAAGTTAGTCTTACATAAATTACATAAATTGCATGAATCATGTGACTGCCGTTGTTTATCCGTGGAAACTATAGGTTTATTGGTCTTCAATAATTTTTCAATTTTTATCGCCATCTCAGCAACGGTTTCAACAAAATGTCTCGCCACGTCTGTCTTATTCTTGTTTCCTCGGTATAATATTGACTCTGTTGGTATGTCATGTTCCTCCAATAACTTCTGCGGTACGTTATCGCTCGCTTTCACAATGAGACTATAGCTCATCGCCTCATGTCTATGTAATATCCTCGTCTTGGCTCCTTTCTTCTCATCAGTCTTCGTCAATATCGTCTCAAAATCTGCATAAATTACTATGGGGTGTCTCTGGGTCTTATTCCACGCCTTGAATTCAGTACAGTCACCCTCTTTTGGCATCTCTGGTAAAATTGGTGTGTGTTCTCCGCAAATCAGCTTGTGTTGATTCAGCGCCTCCTGTCCGCTCAACTTGTATTTATGCCGCCTGTCATCGAATGACGTAAAACACCTTTTACAAAATACAACGCGTTCATCATGCTTAGTTTTTTGTGCGCGCACAATTCGTGAAAAATTCGAAATGTAAACGTAATGCGAGTTTTTGTCGTCCTTTACCAACAACAGGTCGAAGTGGTCCGGTTTCTCTTCGTCAACGACTCGTAGCGGGTATACCTCATACCTCGGGGACTTTGGTGGCTGTATTTTTCTATCTATACCATAGACGTTAACGGAGACGCTGGAATTGTTTTTTTCGAATTTAGTTATATCCGATAGCGGTGTCGGGAAGGTGAGGCCGTCAAAATTATATTTTCCTTCATGTTTTTTGTAATTTTCACCCACACAGCATTTATATTTATCAGATAAATTATATGCCACATGCCTCGCTAGAATCGCCCACTTAAAACATTCCTGGTCTGTGTTTTGTGGATTTATTGTACCCCGTTTCCTGTCGATATACGTTGGCAACTCAATATACGACGAGCCACCCATCGGTGTATATTTATATACCGCCAACAACAAGCCGTCTATGCTCTCCAATGTAAATCCGCTTCCACGTGATTGGTACTCATCTTTCTCTGTCATTAACTTCATATACGCCCTCTCTACAATCGTTCTAATGTCACTATCCGAATAAAGTTCTACCGCCGAAGTTTTGAATGCCCGGTTCTCCGACGAGTTTGGTATGTTGGGCCGGTTGTATGTTGCCTCGAGTTTCAAATTGAATTTAATCGCATGTTTTTTCACGTGGGTTTTCAATAAATTGACTAACTCAGGCATAAGCGGGCGGAGAAAATCAGAATAAATCATTGTATTATCGACATTTTTCGCATAATACCACACGATCTTCCTATTTGCGGACGATGAAATCTCGATGAACCCAGGGGCCTTGACAAGATTCAACCTAGTCTTTTTCGCCCTAGCAGCCGACACGGTGTTGGCCGTGGAAACACGCTTTCCGTTAACGGCAACGGTGTATGAATCTTTAAAAATAAAACCTAATATTAATATCTGATAAAATCTAATGACGAATCTATTAAAAATCTAATCAACCCGTGACTGAAAAATAAAATCTAACGACATGTATTTTAAAAAATCTGTTTTACTTGTATTCGATTAATAAATCTACTTTAACGTTACGTATTTAAAAAAATAATCCACGGCGGATAAAATAAAATCAGCGGGTCTTTTAAAAATCTAATTGATTCTGATAAATTAAAAATCTAATTGATTCTGATAAATTAAAAATCTAATTGATTCTGATAAATTAAATAAAACTAACCTGTATCCTCAAATTCGTTCATTGCTTTCATACACAATAGATCGTTATCCTCAAATTCATCCATTGCTTCCATGCACAATATATCATCGTCGGATATCGCATTCGATCCACCAGCCGGGACATCGGGAATAAATATTTGAGGCGCGATCTGGATAACATCACCTTGATTAGAGGCACGAGGCGCTCGTGTTGGGTGATCTATGTTTCGTGCAGCGGGTATTGGCCTCAAATGGGTTGGAATGTTGACAATACCTTGGGGAAAAATTTATAAACAAATTAATATGGAATCAAAAAAAAAAAAAAATATAAAATTTAATATTTGTAATACATACCATGAACATTTTTCAGATGTCTATTGAGATGCGATTTTTGACTGAATGTCGATGGACATACGGTACACGGAAAACGTATACTTTTATGAGTTATTTCATGTCTAACCAAACTGTCTTTTCGTACAAAAACCGACGGGCACTGCACGCATTTAAACATATTGATTTGTTTAAGATATTTACGAGAAAAAAAAAATGTTTAAAAATGTTATTATATTTTATATTTTAAACACTGTCAAACAAATAATAAACGCTGAAAAAAAAAACACGAAGGGAGCAAACGCGTAGTACGTGTACAATTAACTGTGACACACTGATCGCGGTTGACCACGGCAGTCGGCAGCTGCTGGTAGAAAAAGGTCGTATCGATAACAAAGGGATAATAGTAATCATTTCTATAGATATATACGATTATTTGAACATTTCAAAAAAACCTACACCGTCGACAATTTCGGCGGAGTACGATTGCGCGCGTTTTACCTTTTTAGGTATACGATTGCGCGCAGTGCCCGAATAACAAAAGACAACATTTTAATTACTCAAAGGCGTACGATTGCGCGTGAAATTGGGCGCGACGTTGCCAAATGTATTACGTAAATAATAAAAATACAAAAAGTTAATAATATAAAAAAAATGTTATTTAAAAAAAAATTAAAAAATTAACGTAAATAATAAAAAATAAAAAAAGTTAAAAAAAAATAATACAAAATAAAGAAATTTAATAATTGAAAAAATATAATACTCGTAAATCAATATTTATATTAAATTTTAAACCCCCGATACGGCGATACCTATTTCCATCTATGGCCAAATACTTTAGTAAATTTTTTTGGTGTTTTATTGTTTACATAATGTTTGTGTTCATTTTTCAAATTTTCAATTTTCCTTGATTCTTCATTCGATTTTGGTTTTATTATACCTTTGGAAATGGTTAATAATTTGGTAACTGTTTCTGCCTGAGGTTCCATAAGGGTAGCTATAACGACAAATATTGGCGGATGAGCACTATTAAACTGTGCATTATATGTACTATGGAAACTTTCAGCCCCGTTTGTAGTCCTAAAAATAAATAATATTATATTATAGTTAACACATTTTTTTTTAAAACTATTATTAGAACCGAACACAACTGATAGTTAATTGATATAGTCACATCATGCACGATTATAGTATAGGTATATTCGTACATGTATAGACATTTACAATAAAGATAATATTTTTGATAATATAACCAATTCATTCTTTAGTGATGGGAAGTTTGTCTAATATCGGCAAAAATAAGTAATAAATAATCTACTATAATTTACTATGGTATCCTACGGATTTACCATGGACCTATATATTTGGCAACGTTGCTTAAAAGTTAAAATAATATAGCGCGCGCAATCGTACGCTTAAAAAGGTACCGCTGATAAGGACCGCGCGCAATCGTATCGCGCCCGACAATTTAACAGTACCCTGTAGAGATTTTCAATATTATGTTTTATACACAAATACTGGTATATCTCACGTTCAAATAAATACCTTCGCACGCTATTATTATTATGGTACATTGATTATAAGCATAATGTGTACATAATTTTGTGCAAGAAATAAACTCAATTATAAACAATTTTAAAACTACGGCAAAACATGTTGTAGATATTTCTCATATTCAATAATATACGTTTATTTAGTGAATTTGAACGTTTTTAAAAAAACCTACACCGTAGTAACAATAGTGGTATACAGTATAATATATTGTTGATATTTAACAATATACGTTTATTTCGTGATTTTCGGCTATTTTAATAAATCTACAACATACTAAAATAAAGATATGCGTCATATATTTTAATTTCACACTCAACGTTAACAACGCATGCTATCATTATGGTACATTGATTATAAGCATAATGTGTACATAATTTTGTGCAAGAAATAAACTCAATTATAATCAATTTTAAAACTACGACAAAACATGTTGTAGATATTTCTCATATTCAATAATATACGTTTATTTAGTGAATTTCGACATTTTGAAAAAACCTACACCGTAGTAACAATAGTGGTATACGGTATATATTTCTGATATTTAACAATTTTCGTTTATTTCGTGAATTTCGACATTTTTAAAAATACCTACACCGTAGTAACAATAATGTTATGTTGTAGATATTTCTGATATTTTGCGATTTACGTTTATTTCG